ACTGTACCGGTCTCTGCCATCCCACGGTCCATGGCTTGCAGCCATCCTAGCCACTGTCACTGCACGAGCTGCTGCCATGCCAACTGCTGTCACCACACCCGACACCGCTGTTGCACCAGACGCTGGACCAGATGCCGCTGCTGTGCCTGACAACGCTGCTACCACAGCAAGATCTGCATATACAGGTGGGGCCTATGCTGGCCAGGGGGACGGAGTAGGAAGCAGCCCAGGGCAGGGAGCAGGAGGAGCCCTGGTGGGCTCGGTGCATTTCGGGGAGAACTCCCTACCGAGTCAGTGGTGGGAACCGCTGTTGCACCAGACGCTGGACCAGATGCCGCTGCTGTGCCTGACAACGCTGCTACCACAGCAAGATCTGCATATACAGGTGGGGCCTATGCTGGCCAGGGGGACGGAGTAGGAAGCAGCCCAGGGCAGGGAGCAGGAGGAGCCCTGGTGGGCTCGGTGCATTTCGGGGAGAACTCCCTACCGAGTCAGTGGTGGGAACCAGGGGTGGATATAGGGCAGGGCAAGCGGGGCAGCTGCCCCGGGCCCCGCGCTTCAAGAAGCCCCGCGCATGCACCGTGGCAAAGGGGGGCCCCGCGAAATTGGGCTGCCCTGGGCCCCGCAAAATGGTTATCTGCCCCTGGTGGGAACCACCCACCACTGATAGGGCCCTGGGCTGGGGCCCGGTGGAGGGGGAGGGTCCAGGCCTCCCTACCCCCTTTTCCCAGCTCCCAGACTAGGAGCTGATCCTGAAAGACTAGGCCTCAGGGCCTGTTTTGCGAGAGACTAGGCCTCGTAGCCATATTGCGAGAGGCTAGAAACCGGGGCCTGATGGGGAGTGACCCCATTGGGGAGATTGTGGGGCTAGGCACCCCGCCACACACCCATACTCATATTAACTTGTACCTTCCTACACAGAAATTAATTGTGACTACTTGTGGAGTTAGGTATTGAGAGGTATGAGAATATGTCTCTCTTGAGTCTAAATAATTTGACACAGATTCAAACTAATTGTAACTGCAAAACCTTTTGATTTTAATGTTATTGTAAAATACTTTTACATGAACGTTTAGGTTGTTCTATTTGATTTATGACTAGTTCATTTTATTTTTGGAGTTACCTGATTCATTCATCTCTTTAATCCGAACCTCTGGATTCCAGCAATTCTCTTGGATAACTCTGAAAACCTTTCCCTCCTTCATCATTTTTGCCTCCCCCTGTGAAATAAAATTTTCATTACAATAATATAGTTATGTTAGACAGTAAGACTTTTACTATTTTAGAAGTATGTGGGGCTGCCAATGCCCATCCAATGCTAGAATTCAGGTCCTATATTTTTGTTCAATAGAAAAAAAATCCACAAAATTATTTTGAAATGTCATTTGCCATTTAAAAGGACACTATCAAAGTATCTTTTTCGCAATTTAAAAATAAGTCTCTCTCTATTGCTGTCCATAATACTCTTGTTATCCTGAAACAGTTTCCTTAACTCAAGTTTGTCCTCCACTATTTAGGCACCCGCGCTTGTCATCAGAGTGATGCTTATGAGTGTTATTTGACTATGAGCCAAGTTCTATCCTCAGTTATGCCCAATTTCTTTGGAAGTCAGTGGGATCAAGAATGATCTTAGTAAATCCAGAGACGATTTAGAGCAGCGGTCACCAACCAGTAGATCGGGATCTACTGGTAGATCTTGGAGCCTCTGACAGGAGATCTTGACTGGTTTGGCCAAAAGGCTGTCAAGCCCAGCACTTCAGCTGTCCCCCACAGACTCTTTGCCTTGGAGCTGTCCCCTCAGGAACCTCCTGCTTGCTGTGCAGGGCAGGGGAGACAGAGGAGAGCGCTGATGTCAAGATGCCTCCTCTCCCACTCTGTATCCTATCTCCACAGAGCAGAGAGGGGGCATAACAGGGCTTGGGAGGGAGCTTGCTGGCTGCTTTTGGGAGTGGTGCAGGGCTGGGACAAGGGTGAGCCTGCTTAGCCCCACTGCACCACCACCCAGGAGCCACCTGACGTAAGCAGTGCTCAGCTGGAGCCCACATCCCACAAGTCTACCCCAGTCATGAACCTCCTCCTGCAACCTATGCCCCTGCTATAACCCTGAGTACCCCTGCATCCAACCACCTCCTACAGCCTGCACCTAGATCTCCCTCCGGCATCCCAACTGCCTGCCCCAAACTCAGCTCAGAGTGCCTCTCACACTACAAATTCCTTAATCCAAGACCCACGCCTACACCCCAACCTGCTGGCCCTGCCTGGTGAAAGGGAGGGAGGATGGAGTGAGCAGGGGCGGAGCCTCAGAAAAGGGGCACAAAGGAGGTGGGGCAAGGACCTGTGGGTCTGAGGTAGATCTTGGATTGCACTTACATTCAAAAAGGGTGGAGACCCCTGATTTAGAATAACTCCATAAATTCAGTTTAGTTCTGCAGATTCACCCTGTACAATTGAGATGGAATTCGCCCCACTGTAAGATTCAGGGCGAATTTTCTTTTTAATAATAAATAAAATAAAAAAATAAAACTGAAGCATTTGCATCAGGGGAAAATCCAGGATAAAAAAATTACCAGAACTATAGCAATACAGTTTTTAATTCAAAGTCCTTTTAGGGTTATGAAGATCAAAATATTACCAAGGTCACTGACTTTGACTGTGCCTCTTTAATCGTGAGACGAGAGAGCAGTGCAACACTTTTGACTTTAATTTTTGATTGGTTTGACAACTGGCCAAAGACATTATGCAGTAACTGTCTTGTCAAATCAAGCCAAGGAAAATGAATCTGGCAACTATTCATAGCCACATGCTCTTATGGATGTGTTATTAGTTTCCTCCCACCATACGCAAAATCAGTTGACTGAGTTCTCCTGGAGGAGAGATGAATTTCACCCATTGCACAGCTATTCTGAAATCTAAAATAACTGGTAATTCAGACTATTCCTTGTTATGAACACAGACATAAAATACTTAAATGAATAAATGTACACTCATTGCAGAAGGCATACTCAAATGCATGTCTTCTCTCTAGGAGGAGTCAGGCTGTTTTTCACCTTGAATTTGTTATTAGCTTCATACATCATTCACAAATATATTTGCCTGATAAATATTTTAAAACTTCTTTTTTGACTCTTTGTCTGTGCCACCTGGGCAAGTTGCCAGAATGAACTGGCAGCAACATCACACTTTGAGAAAATGACTCCTAATATTATAGCCAGTAATTACATCTCCACAGTCCTGCTCCTCTGGCAAAATCCTTTAAAGTCTGTTAGAATTTATTTTCCAAATAGAAGGGATATCTTAGCTATACATTCCAACATATTTAAAAATCCAATATCAAGCTACTGTTGATTATTGTGTAATAAATAGATAGCTGGATATTGGGGGTAAGGGAAAGGACCAGAGGAATTGAAGATTTTGTCAAATAAAAATAGATTGTGTGTCCTTTAGTGGGCTACCACTGGGAGGGTTTCCATGAGCAAAGTAGACTTTTAATTCTTTCTTTGGACTCTGCTAGCCTCTAAAGCATTCATATATATTTTCTTCTATTAATACTGAAAATAATGTTAGATGGATTTTAATTTCACTAAGGGACTTCTCTGATATTAATACATAAATATTGAAAAATAAATAGCAATCCTTTTCATGTAATATTAGGCTATGCAATATGAAAGATTTTCTAATAAAGTAAGTGGCAATCTATAAAGAATTGTGATTGCTGCTTTCACCTGTGTTAAATGAATTTTCTGAGATCATGGGTGTGCCTTTCATCAATCTTGAACCCTCATATTTGTGTGTAAGCTGGGGAAAAGCCTGTTTTACAGATTAGATTCCTTTTCTTCTTATTCACTTGACTAAATTCACTCAGATCAAGGAAATTACCCATATGAGTAAGGCAAGCAATATTTGGCTCAACCAATAAACATCAGTTGGAAATCAAGTGATATTGCTACAGTCTCAAAATTCTACCATTAAAATCCACATGATCCAAATACTTAAAATACAAAATTATGTAGCAATTTTGTAAAGTTAATAGAAAACAATTCTCTAAGGTTTTGCAGCAATGATAAACACATGGATCCTGAGGAAATGTTTCATGTTTCAAAGCAATGGCTAGAATGAAGCCTTCAGACAAGGTAATATGAAACCTCTATTCTCAAGGGTTAATCAATTTAACTGGGACCTTACTTAAGATTTGTTTAATCTCTTCGTAACAGCACCTTATGTTTTAAGCTTTAACAAATGTGGAAATTAAAAGACAGATTTAAAAATCAGTTGTGTCAAATCAAGTGAGCAACATGATAAAGTTTCCCTTCACCAGGCTCATCAGTTTTATTCAAAATTTCACTTCTTTGGGAAAAAAACATAATTAATTTTTATGGTTTGATTCCCATTCTTCTTTACTGAGTCATATGAGAAGCTTTTCCTTCCTCTCATCCTTAAACACATTTTCCCTTGCTCCAATCCTGTGCAAAGGACTTTATTGCCTCCCAAGGATAGTAACATCCAACCTATTCTGACAGAGGCAGGCTGGATGGGACTTTCCTCATAGCCCATAATACTGCTACTACTTGCTTGCCACAGGTTTCCAACTGAATCTTTAAAAAATTCCATGCTTTACAATCCCAGCAATCTTTGCAACACTGGAATATTCTTGTAATAAACAGATGTAGCAGTTTATCAAACTACTCAGCTATATTTTCATTACTCATCAGTGCTCACACACTTGCACTTAACACACAGGTGTGTTTTTCCCAAGGTGACAAGTGATTTGGGTGTCCAGTTCCCATTATGTAGCTTGATCTATAGATGATATATTGATTACTTAAGAATTCCCTGATATCACTTTGAAGGTTGACAGGTTCTTGTCCCAAGATCAGACCCAGTATTATTCAAAACTATTCAGATTAATAGGAAAATAACATCTAGATTCCTCAGATAGTGTGGAAATTCTCAGTCAGTGTTTTACATAATGCAGGTAATATATCTTTAGTGAGAATCATGAGAGTGAAGGTTGTTTTTTTTTTAAAGCAGGGCACCACAGTTACTGCCTTCATGAGAGTAAACCTGAAGGGGTGCTGAGGCAACACCCTGTAAATGACAAACACTGGATATTTAATTCCTTTTGTGTCATTGCACAACTAACCACACTAATATCACTCGTCCCTGTATCTCTCAGTTCAGAGCTCTCATTTTGAAATCATGTCTGAACAGCAGAAGATGGGACCAGATTAACTCTAACACTGTCTGGTTAAAAAGTTTCAGAGGGGTAGCTGTGGTAGTCTGTAAGGGTGCATCTACACAGCACCATAAAGTTGAAATAAGATACGCAATTTGCACTACGCAAATTGCGTATCTTATTTTGATTCTATTTCAAAATAGCATATTTTGAAATTTGGTGCACCTACACAGTGCCAAATTTCAAAATAATGCACTATTTCGAGACATCCCTTAACCCTTGTGGAATGAAGGTTACAGGGATGCCGAAATAGTACGCCCGTTATTTTGAAAAATATTTCAAAATAATGGGGGGCTTGTTAAGATGAGGGGTAGCTATTTCAGGATACCTATGGCATCTGAAAATAGCAGCGCTGTGTATATATACCCTAAGGATGTATCTACACAGCAGTGTTATTTTGGAATAATGGCTGTTCTTCTGAAATAACAATGTGAGCATCTACACAGCACTTCCATAATTTAGAAATAAATTCTAAATAATGGATGGCTTATTCTGACTTCTGGAAAACTCATTTCACAAGGAATAACGCCTATTCCAAAATAGCTATTTCGGAATAGCAGTAGTGTAGATGCTCCACTGCTGGTATTTTGAAATAGCTCCTCCCCAGGGCCATTCAAATGAATTACTCTCCAGTGCCTCCTGGGGCTCTAAATCGAGATAGCACATTAGGGAAGTCTGCCTTAGATTAATTTTGAGGCTTCCCTGTAGTGTAGATGTGTTATTTCGAAATAAGCTATTTTGGAGTATTTCTCCTAGAATAGCTTATTTCAAAATAAGTGTGCAATGTAGATGTACCCTAATTGAAAAAACTTCAAAATAATGAATAGTTGTGCAGCACCTTAGAGACTAACAAAAAATGAAGATGCTATCATGAGCTTTAGTGGGCACAACCCACTTCATTCATCTGAAGAACTGGATTGTACTCATGAAAGCTCATGAAACCATCTACATTTTTGTTAGTCTCAAAGGTGCAGCAAGACTATTCATTATTTTTAATTTTTTTTGTTTTGTTAAACTCACCATCTAAAAGGCCAACAATTTAATAATATAATTGGTTTTCGTTCATTGACTTAAATGGGAGCTTGCACATTCTTAAACTAAAGCATGTGCTCACGCTCTCAGCTGGACTAAGGATATCTTTCCTTTTTATGCTGTCAGCTGTGCATCTTGTGTCTTGCAGCTCACGGTATCTAAATCATGCTTATTCTTTCCCACCAAATACCTCATTTTCTTCAGATCCCTCCCTAGCTAATAACATATGCATCACCACCATATGAGCACTTCACAGCCATTATTAGATTTTACCACCGTTTTACGTATGGACAGAGGGGACAATAGAACTGCTGGACCTCTGGCCAAGGTAGAGGTGGTGGCTCCACACTCCCTGAAGGGGTGAAGCCTAAGGCTGGAGGGAGGCAGCCAACCCTCAGTGCCACCTGAACTGCGCAACCCCCCTCCCTCCCATCCAGCTAGCACTTAGCTCCCTTTGAATCACCAGCCCCTGTGGCAGTTGCACCTTTTGCCCCCTTTGCTGGCAAGCCTGCATATGGGGAACTAGCACAGGAAGTTGGCGGCTATGATGTGAACTGAATACAAGTTTCTTGAAGCCCTGTCCAGTGCTCTGTGTAGAAGACCATGTTCCTTACCCCACCTCTCCAAGCACCCACTCTTCCTTTTTCAACACAATGGAATCCTGGGACCTGATCCAGCACCTCGTGAAGTCAATGGAATGACTCCCATGGAGTTCCAGGGGTAATTGGGACAGGCTCCTGAAGTGTTAGCTTGCATGTTTGTGTGTGTTCATTTATTCTGTATTGTTTAGCTCCTCAGGGTAGGCTGTATGGTTTGTGTGTAAACTTATGGCACTATACAATGTTATTTATCGTTATTGCCATAGATGCCAACTTTGTGGGTGCTCTGGGGCTGGAGAATCCTTGGGGGGAAAATTAGTGCTCAGTACCCACTGACAGCCAGCCCTCTCCCCCCATCCCTCTCACCTGCTGGTGGCCCCACTAACCAACTCCTACCCTCCCAACACTTCCAGAGCACCATGAATCAGATGTTCAGGAAGCTCTGGGAAGGAGGGGAAGAAGTTGGCACAGGGTACGCTTGAGGAGGATGTGGGGAAGAGGTAGGGCAGCGAAGGGAAGAGGCAGAGTGAGGGCACGGGCTTAGGGGTAGGAGTGAAATGGGAGTAGGGTGGGGCTGAGAGGAAAGTATTGGAGCCTAAGGCAAAGGGGAGAGTCAAGCACCCTCTGGCTAGAGGGGAAATCGGTGCCTATAATTATTACCAACAAAATATTCTTAAATGTTACGTTAAGGGCTCAACTGCTCCAGGCTTTGCATAGGTCTGTGAGAGACGAGGAGTGGGAATCAGAGACCTTTCCTGTTGTATGAACCTGAGGAGCTTGAATGGATTGGTTGTCACTGTGCTCCACTGTGTGCCAGGACTGCTGCAGGTTAATAATGCTAGCTTCTCTAGGAGGCTGGGGTCTGGTAAAGGAGCTGGCTCATCCTAGCAGGGAGTGCATGCATTCTCTCTGTGCTGCTAGTGGCATCTTGAGATATAATGCATCCTGTACAGGTCATGTGTGCACTAACCCCAGCTGCAGGTTGTGGTTGTATATACCACAACTTGAGCAGATTGGAAAAAATCAGAAATATGAATATTGCATCAGAATTTGCAAATTTATCAAAACCAAAACGTCTTCTAGAGATGTTTGATTTTGACAGTGTTCTGACAAACACTCCCTGTCACATAGGTTTGCTGGAGCCTGTCTGGCTGAAAGTTGGGGATCCCCAGACTCCCACAGACAGCAGCCGTTCACAAAGTGGACTGCCTCGAAGCTCCACTTCCATATGGGGAGAGTTTGGGGATTTTGCTGAAAGTGGAACACAACCAGATTTTGACACAACAAAATTACCTTTCTCCACATAGCTTTAACCACAGAACTGAAAAATCAAATATGCACACAGCTCTGTGTATGGTATGGCCCCAAGAGGCTGCAGCCTGTTCTAACTGAAACCTCTGTTCTGTCTTTGCGCTCCTTGTTATAAAGCTGAGGAATGAATTATTCTTTCTTCTTTTGGGAAGTTTTTTGATGCTATAATTCTTAACTTCTATAAAAATATTATTAGATAATTCAATTTGTGTTTTCTTTTCCTTCTAGACAGTCATATAATGTCAGAAGATCTGGGTCAATTTCTAGGTTAAGTTCTAAAATTGATGATTCTATGGAAAAAAAGTTTAATTTGTTTCACATTATATTGCCTTCTGTTACAATCTGTTTTTTAGTGCTACACACTCTGAATACAATAGAAGCTCAGCATTCTGAATACCTATGAAATGAAGGCTATTCAGAACTCTGAAATGTTTGTAACTCTGAACAAAATGTTATGGTTAGTCTTTCAAACATTTACCACCAAACATTGATTTAGTACAGCTTTAAAACTGTTCTTTGCTGGAAAAAATGTGGATTTCTCTATTACTTTTTAGAAGTTTATTTTTAACACAGTACTGTATTATATTTACTTTTTTTTGTCTATGCTGTTGATTGATTGCATATGTCTGGTTCTAAAGGTGGTGTGTTGTTGACCGGCCACTTCCTAACTGTGGTATTCAACAGTAACTCTGAAGTTCTACTATATTAGGCTGCGGTAATTATGAAGAATGCTGGATTCCAAAGGGAGATTAGACAGAAGTTAGTCACCTTTTACCCATTTTCAGTCCTTTAACAGAAAGATCTATTGTGATGTTTCAGTGTTTGGAGTAATCTTGCTACATGAAAGGGTATATCCTAATGATTTGAAACTGTAAGTTAAATGATGGCCATCAATCTTATTGGCACACTGCTTTTTAATGGGTAGAGGTGCATGACACCACAATAATGCCTTAGAGAATGAGAATCAGCATACCTTGCAATGGTGTTCCAGTTGAACCCATCCACCATAACCATATTTCTGTGAAGGAAGGAAGAAAAGGCCAGTGATTAGACAGTGTCATGGAATGAAAATCAAAGGCTCAGTTCTTGCAGCTAGTCAGACCTAAGTGTAAGATGATCCTCATGGACAAAAACGAGTAGTACTGTGGCACCTTAAAGACTAACAAAAATAAATAGTATCATGAGCTTTCATGGGTAAGACTTCATCAGATGAGTTGGAGTGGAAACGACAGAAACCAAGTTATATATAACAGACAAAAAAGTACCTGTTAATTGTAGGACCTGTGTTAGACCTCAATGAAACTAATTAAGTGGGCTGGATGTATCCCATTCATAGCTCTTGATGTGAAAATGTGGATTTTAAAGGCAGAGAAAATTGGCGTTGTTATGCATTAACCAATTAATGTCTTTACTCAAGGCCAGGTTAATAGTGTCAAATGTGTAAATAAATTCCAGTTCTTCAGTGTGTCTCTGTAGTTGCGTGATGAAATATAGCCTTCCCTCCCAAATAACAGCATCTCCTCAGGTGGACCCAAAATAGGACAAAGAAGAGAGGGAAGCAAGAGGTAAGAAAGAAACTCAAGAAGCCACATACAGAAAAGAAGGAGGAGAAAAAAAAAAGACTAAAATAAAATAAATAAAACAAAAATATCCACTGCTCCAGTGAGGGAGAAACATTAGTCTTTTGTAGGCATGCCAAATGCTTATTATTGTTTCTTACTCAGACAGTCATCTAAGAAGTAGTGTTTTTGACTGACTTCTTGTATGTTTATGATTCATTTTCATGGTTAATATCCTTTTAGAACTTTATTAGCTAAAAGTGGATGCAAAACCATGTCGCCTTTAGGCTGTCAAATGTAGGACTGCATCATTTGATGAAAGGCAGCTGCGGGGTGGGGTGCATGTACGTATTTATAGTTCTTATGTGGCCAGGATCTCAACTGGTGTTAATTACCATTGCTTCACTGAATTGAATGGAACTACATTAATTTACACCAGCTAAGGATCTAACACAGGATATATACACCACTGTTTGTGAGAAACTATGTAATATGCAATGAGTATTACCTACATCTATCTAGCTGCACTTCATCTACATAGTTAGTATGCGTATGGTTATTTGCTCAGCACTCTTCACAATGATATTATCATCATCTGCACAGTGAGTTTTCTGTTCCAATGATGCAAGTATGGAAGATTCATTTAGGTAAGTGTGACGGGGCAGGCGCTTTGCCCGCGCTCCCCCGCACTGAAACGAATACCAAGAAAGAAAGCAGGCACCCGGGAAGGCGGGCGGACGAGGGGGGGCCGACCGCGGGGAACCCGGAAGCCGTAGCAAGGGCAGAGGCGGG